CAGATTGTTGGTGATGAAGTATTTCTGTTACTTGGTTTTCCTTCTACCAGTCTAGCCCCTTCACTGTACGACTGCTGAGGTCCACTCCAGGCCCTGCTTGTCTGGGGTGCACCTATAGCAGCTGCGGAACAGTGAGGGATGCTACCAGTTTCTTTTTCTGCTATCTTTGTCCCAGGATGATGCCTGCCAAATGTCAGTCTTTTGGATATAGAGGGGTCAGGGAGCTGCTTGTAGAGACAGTCTGTACTTTATAGGAGCTCAATTGCTGAGCTGTGAGCTCTGTTGTTCATTCAGGGCTGTTAGGCTGCTATGTTTGATTCTGCTGCAACAGAGCTAATTAAAAAACCCCTTTTTTTCTCAAATGCTCTGTCTTGGGGGGTTGGGGCTTTGTTTTTGGATGTCTGTTGAGGTGTCCTGCCCAGCTAGGAGGCAGTCTAATCACTATTTGACTGCCAAGGCTCAGCCCTGCTGTTGTGAGGTTCGCCCTGTTGCTGCAGGCTCTTGCTCTTCTGCTGCGGTCTCCGCCACGGGCTATGCCCTGCAGCGGAGTCTCTCTGTTGTAGCGGGTTGCCTCGGCAATGGCAGGCTGCATCAGTAGTGGGCGTGTATCTCAGTAGGGGCGTGTTGCCTCGGCAACTGCAGGCTGTGTCAGCAGTGGGCGTGTGTCTCTGTCGGGCGGGTTTCCTCGGTAATGGTGGACGCCCCTCCCCCACGGAGCGTCTCAGTGACCGTCTCCACGGCGAGCATTTGGAATCGCCGTTTTGTCTGTCCCACTGTGCTATCCCAAATGCTGTGTCCCTGCAATCCCCTGGGCTGGCCCACTGCCCAAGTCCCTTTCAGTCTCAAGTTCAGCCCTCTCAAGTCTCAGGTTGCCATTTCAACAGTGCACCCGGACAAGCACGCCCTGTGGGGATCGCTGGGTAGGGCCGGCCGCCGCCACCCCGGCTGCCGGCTTCTTCAGGCAGAGCCTCTGCCTGGTGTCCCGCGTCTCCTTTATACTTCGGAATTTCCCCATTCTGTGGGCAACAAAGATCAGTCTGAAAATGCAGTTCTGACTCACCTCTCTGTGGATTAACTGAGAGCTTCAATCCTGGGTTGTTCTCACAGCGCCATCTTGAGTTCCTCCAGCGAAAATTCCTTTCTTTCAGAATGTTGAATATTGCCCCTCACTCTCTTCTGGCTTGTAGGGTTTCTGCACAGAGATCTGCTGTTAGTCTGATGGGCTTCCCTTTGTAGATAACTCAACCTCTTCTCTGGCTGCCTGTAACATTTTTTCCTTCATTTCAGCCTTGGTGAATCTGACAATTATGTGTCTTGGGGTTGGTCTTCTCCAGGATTATCTTTGTGGTATTCTCTGTATATCCTGATTTGAATGTTGACCTCTCTTGCTAGGTTGGGGACATAATAGCCTGAAGAGTGTTTTCCACCTTGGTTCCATTCTCCCTGTCACTTTCAGGTATACCAATCAAATGTAGGTTTGGTCTTTTCACATAGTCCCATAGTTCTTGGTAGCTTTGTTCATTCCTTTTTGTTCTTTTTTCTCTAATCTTATCTTCAAGCTTTATTTTATTAAGTTGATCTTCAATCTCTGATATCCTTTCTTCCACTTGATCGATTCAGCTATTGATACTTGTGTCTGCTTCACGAAGTTCTGGTGCTGTGTTTTTCAGCTTTATCAGGTCATTTATGTTCTTCTCTAAACTGGTTATTCTAGTTAGCATTTCCTCTAACCTTTTTTCAAGGTTCTTAGCTTCCTTGCATTGGGTTAGAACATGCTCCTTTAGCTTGGAGGAGATTGTTATTACCCACCTTCTGAAGCCTACTTCTGTCAATTTGTGAAACTCGTTCTCAGTCCAATTTTGTTCCCTTGCTAGTGAGGAGTTGTGGTCATTTGGAAGAGAATAGGTGTTCTGGTTTCTGGAATTTTCAGCCTTTTGCACTGGTTTTTCCTCATCTTCATGGATTTATTTCCCTTTGGTCTTTGATGTTGGTGACCTTCAGATGGGGTTTTTGTGTAGACGTCCTTTTTGTTGATGTTGATGCTATTTCTTTCTGTTTGTTAGTTTTTCTTCTAACAGGCCCCTCTGCTGCAGGTCTGCTGCAGATTGCTGGAGGTCCACTCTAGACGCTGTTTGCCTAGGTATCACCAGCAGAGGCTGCAGAACAGCAAAGACTGTTCCTTCCTCTGGGAGCTTCGTCCCAGAAGGGTACCTGCCAGATGCCAGCTGGAGCTCTCCTATATGAGGTGTCTGTCGACCCCTGCTGGGAGGTGTCTCCCAGTCAGGAGGCACAGGGGTCAGGGACCCACTTGAGGAGGCATTCTGTCCCTTAGCAGAGCTTGAGTGCTGTGCTAGGAGATCTGCTACTCTCTTCAGAGCCAGTAGGCAGGAAGGTTTAAGTCTGCTGTAGCTGTGCCCACAGCCGCCTCTTCCCCCTGGTGCTCTGTCCCAGGGAGATGGGAGTTTTAATCTAGAAGCCCCTGACTTGGGCTGCTGCCTTTCTTTCAGACATGCCCTCCCCAGAGAGGTGGAATCTAGAGAGGCAGTCTGGCTACTGGCTAGTTTGAACTTCCTGGGGGCTTTGTGTACACTGTGAGGGGAAGATTGCCTACTCAAGTCTTAGTAATGGTGGATGTCCCTCCCCCCACCAAGCTCAGGTGTCTCAGGTCAACTTCAGACTGCTATGCTGGCAGTGAGAATTTCAAGCCAGTGGATCTTAGCTTGCTGGGCTCCATGGGGATGGGATCTGCTGAGCTAGACCACTTGGCTCCCTGGCTTCAGCCCCCTTTCCAGGGGAGCGAATGGTCTGTCTCGCTGGCGTTCCAGCACCACTGCAGTATGAAAAATACTGTTGAGGCTAGCTCAGTGTCTGCCCAAAGGGCCACCCAGTTTTGTGCTTGAAACCCAGGGCCTTGGTGGTATAGGCACCCAGGGGAATCTCCTGGTCTGCAGGTTGCAAGGAACATGGGGAAAGCGTAGTATCTAGGCCAGAATGCACTGTTCCTCAGGGCACTGTCCTTCACAGCTTCCCTTGGCTAGGGGAGGGAGTTCCCGAACCCCTTGTGCTTCCTAGATGAGGTGATGCCCCACCCTGTTTCTGCTCATCCTCGGTGGGCTGCACCCACTGTCTAATCAGCCCCAATGAGATGAGCTGGGTACCTAAGTTGGAAATGCAGAAATCAGCTGCCTTCAGAGCTATAGACCTGAGCATTTCCTATTTGGCCATCTTGCCAGCTACCCCTTAGCTGTCTTTTTCATTATGTTATACATTCACAAAAAGTTATGAGTGGATAAATTAGCTTCTTTTTCAATTTCATCATAATTTTACAAATCACCCAGGTGTGGTGGCTCATACCTGTAATACCAGCACTTTGGAATTAGAGGCAAGAGGAAGGCTGAGGCAGGAGGATTGCTTGAGCCCAGGAGTTTCAGATAAACCTGGGCAATTAAGTGAAACTTTGTCTTTACAAAAAATTAAAAAATTAACCTATCATGGTGGCATGCACCTGTAGTCTCAGCTACTCGGGGGGCTGAGGTGGGAGCATCATTTGAACCTGGAAGGCAGAGACTACAGTGAGCCAAGATCGTACCACTGTACTCCAGCCTGGGTGACAGAGTGATACCCTATCTCAAAAATAATACTACCTCCAGACATCTTTTTTATATAAAACTTTTAATATGTAATAAAAATTAGTTGGACCACCTATTGAATATTTAAATAAATTATAAAAGTATAGATATTAAAGTTGTTTTATTATTTTTTCTTTTAACAGATTAGTCAGTAGAAGAAAAGGAAAAGTTCATAATCTGTCATGGAGCTTAGTGCAGAAACAAGCTGACCTTTCAGATCATTGGAGCAACGAGTTCAATAACTGGTTTTAAGACATCGGGCTATGTAGGAAAAACAGTGCCAACACTTTTGCTTATTTCTTGCTCCAAAATACTTTCCCCATGAATTAAAGACTTGAACATCAAACAGTAAATGCATAAAGAATATACAAGGGATAATTTCTTAAATATAGTTTCAGAATGGAGAAGACCTTTCATTTGTCTTTTTCTGTGTCCCTAGCTGTAGTTTAAATTCTTTTTGGTTTGTCATATGATACTGCTGTGGGACGATATCCAAATCGTCCTCTGTTGTATTTTCAGAATGGTGAATGTCACCATCCTTAAGGGCAGGAATCTGTCAGTGTGACAAGAAAATATGCCTTGGTTAGGCAGTTATTTCTTATCCACCAGTAGAAAAAATGCTTTGGAAAATTTCCCCTGGATTCTGACAAGTTTATGGGGAATATAAATATGAAACTGCTGAGCAGTTTTGCATTTCCCCAGACTTGAATGCAACAGTAGTAGTGTCACCAGAAGAAATAAAAACGTACAGTTTAAGTAACATTAACATTCTGAGCATACTCTTACATCCATAATGAATTTACGTAGGTTATTGGTTTTCAGCCCTTCAGAAAAAGATCTAAGTGTATTCTATTTGCCATTCTTAGTGACATATCTTGGCACTCTTGTGTCTCATACAAAAACCTCCAAAAGAAACAGCAGGGCCTACATATATGAATATAAGTGTTGTGGATGTCAGTGACATTTGTGTATCTTTACAATCCCTTACCATTGTGCTTTTCACTCTGACCAGGCTCCTGAACAAACCGGGGTTACAGATTCCTCCATCAGCCACACAGTCTCTTTGATTCCTTTTTTCAAAATTAGACCCATTTCTCATGCCGCCAGTCTGCTTTCTTAGTCCATTTAACATTCCTGTAATGCAGATAGAGCAGTTATGTCATTTAGACAACAATAGCATGAATATTTTTTGTCTCTGCTCTCTCTGATATTGATGAAAGAATGAAATAGGAAAGTAACACCATTGCTGATTAATTTTTTCATCTGTGTATTTGAGTTAGAGACAAGTAAAAGTATTTTTAGGCTGATTGGAATGACTCATCGCTTCATCTTCCGCTTTTAACTATATAATTCTGTTTTATTTCAATGCAGGTACAGCCTGACTATTTGGACCGGAAAAAATGATAACTATTCCATTGAAGATTTACTTTACATTAGAGACCATTTTGACAAAAACCAAGTTTTCTATGACATTTTGGAACCACAAAACCATGAATTTAAACAAGCCATTGGAATCAAAGTTAATCTCTAAGAAGATTCTCCTCAATTATTTCCGGTGTTTCGGTTTCATAATCCTTCTCTGCATTGGTCTGAATTAATTACCATGGTTATTGGTTTATGTTCAAGTCATCTAATCAAGAAACACTTATTGTGTGCTTACTTAGTGGGCATATGTCCTTATAACAGTGCACTTACATACAAGATTTGGAAAGAAGAGATTTATTTCCACATGTGGCCTAGTCTAATAATAATTCGGGAAAACGATACTCTGCACGCCTTTATAAAAAGTAGTTCTGATAAACTGAAGATAAGGCAGAATCTGTATGTCATAAAACAGGTATAAATCACATTTTCTTGGCACTTGCTTTGCAGAGATTATGAAAAAGATGGCACTTTTCCTTTTTCCTAGAAAACTGGTTATTTCAGAGATCATCAAAAAGGAAGAGGGCTTTTAAAATGTTTTTAATTTTCACAGGGGTGAGCAGCTGTCTCATATCAAGATCTATTAAGCCATTTCCTGAAACTATAAATTAGATAGATCTAGAATTTCCATATGATTAGGAAGCATACTGGTGGCTAAGTATATTTTTATATTTCTTATTTTTATAATATCTGATTTATAGTGAACGATATAGTGTTAGAGAGAAGTTTTAGTCTTTGTAATGTATCATTTGTTTTCCAAGTTTCTTACTGCCACTACCTTCACTCAGGTGCTTGTTTTACTACTAGAATTTTATTAACTACTTTTTTCATGGCTTTATTTCTCACACTCTACTCAGAGATAACCTGAGTTTGTGAGTTTTTCTGCTAAACAAAACTTTCTTTCTTCTTCTTCTTCTTTTTTTTTTTTTGGATGGAGTCTTGCTCTGTCGCTTAAACCTGGAGTGCAGTGGTGCCATCACGGCTCACTGCAACCTCCGTCTCCCAGGTTCAAGTGATTCTCCTGCCTCAGCCTCCTGAGTAGCTGGGACTACAAGTGTGCACCGCCACGCCCAGCTAATGTTTGTATTTTTAGTAGAGATGGGGTTTCACCGTGTTGGCCAGGCTGGTCTTGAACTCCTGACTTCAGGTGATCTGCCAGCCTCTGCCTTCCAAAGTGCTGGGATTACAGGCATGAGCCACTGCACCCAGGCAAAACTTTCTTAAATACCTCTTTCTTTATGCCAAATCAAAGACCTTCGAAGGCTTAAACTCAATTTTACTCATTTTTCCTCTTTCAAGACCCTTCATAATGGAGTCCCACCTGAATGTCAATTTGTTGTGCTCCAACACCGTTCTTCATTAAAAAAATTTATTCAACATCAGTGGTTTCTAGATCTTACTTTAACCATTAATCTTAACTATTTAGTTATGTTCAGTAATTGACTCGTGCATGTTAGCTATGTCTCCTCAGCTAGACTGTAAAATCCTTTATGGCAAAGGTTCATGCTTAAGTATCTTTTACAGTACCTGGCATAGTCCTGAGAAAAACATTCAGAAAAAATATGTGGCTGCTGTAATTTATTAAGAATTATTTTACTAGTGAATGTCCTAAAATATGTAATTTGCTTCTTATTAATCAACCATTTTTATCTCAGAGAATAACATAGTTCTATAGAGAAAAGAACTTCGGTTTTGAATTCAGACAGATTTTCTTTACGGTCCCACCTCTATCCCTTACTAGCTATAGACTTTGGGAAATCTGTAATGCCATTGACTCTAAGCTCAATTGTCTATAAAATGGAGGTGGGGAAATGAAATTTCTCTTGTAGGTTTGTTGTGAGGATTATGTGAGATTCATGTAGTAGAGACATCTAGCTCAATGAGGTAGGGAATGCTCAGTAAAGTTAGTTTCTCTTCTTTTAGATTTATCCTGTGATCATGTCCATTAAGATAGATAGCACTAAGAGATACAACATGAAACATTGTACACATATAAATACTTAAAGACAGTTATGGTATTTCCACTTGCAAATTCAGCTCTAGTCAAGTGAAATGCTTCTTGTCAAATAATACCTAAAACTTTACTATCCATTTTTGTTTGCCAAAGTCAAGGTGCAATTTCATTATGAAATTTTACCAACTGCTATAGAGAACAATTTTTTAAAATTAACTTGTAAATTTTCTACAAAGACCATGCATTACTAAAGGCAAGTGAATTTATAAATAAACTGCCTTTTGTTGAAGTTTGAAGTAAAACTCTCTTGTCCAGAATATCATTTTTACTACTAACTTATCCCACCTTTGATAATATTTTTTTAAATATTAATATGGTAAAATTATATATTGAGAAATCTATAAGCCTGATATCACTTAGATTAATTTTTTTTTTTTTTTTGAGACAGAGTCTCACTCTGTCACCCAGGCTGGAGTGCAGTGATACAATCTTGGCTCACTAAAATCCCCACCTCTGGCTTTCAAGTGATTTTCATGCCTCAGGCTCCCAAGTAGCTAGAATTACAGGTGTGTTACATAACACCTGGCTAATTTTTGTGTTTTTAGTACACACAGTTTCACAATGTTGCCAGGCTGCTCTTGAACTCCTGGCCTCATGTGATCTGTCTGCCTTGGCCTCCCAAAGTGTTGGGATTACAGGCGTGAGCCACCACATCAAGCCTCACTTAGATTAATAATAAAAGGTATGTTTTAAACTGTTCTCAGGAATGAAAACACATAAGAGAATTATAAAATGTATTCTGTTGAAAAGTAAAATTTTAATGGCTATCCATATGAAAAAAAAAAAAAAACCTTGATCCCTACATCATGCCATTTACAAATAATTTGAGATGGATCTTAGGCCAAAATGTAAAAGCTAAAATCTTAAAACATTTAGAAGAGAATAAGGAAGAATGTTTTCATCACGTTGGAGTAGGCATAGGTTTCTTATAACCCAGAAAACACTAGGCATAAAAGGAAATGTTAATAAATAGACTTTGTCAAAACTTAAAACTTCTCATGAAAAGACATCATTGACACATATCTGACAGAGAGTATATTACTCCTGTAAACTGTTAAGAAAACACACACACACACACAGACTGAAAAATGAGCAAAAGACTTAGATACTTCACATAAAAAAAAATTCAAACGGCCAGAAGAATTTGGAAAGGAACTCAACAGCATTACTTACTAAGGAAAGCCAAGCTTCAGCCACAATAAATGCCAGTACATGCCTACCAGAAAGATTAATATTATAAAGACTAAAAACACCTTTTAGGAAAAGAAGGAAAGTTTGGCACTTTGTGATAAAGATAAGTATATCTCTACCTTAAGACCCAGCCACTCTGAATAGCCGTGTACTCAAAAGAGCTCATATGTTTGCATTTAAAGACTTGTAAAAGAATGTTCATAAAAATTGTATGCTTAATAGCCAAAAACTGGAAACCACCCCAACTGTTATCAGCAAGAGAATTTATAAATAATGGTAGATTCATACAGTGAAATTACTACACAGCACTAAAACAGTTTGAACTGATGTGACAATAAGGATGATTATTAACAACAACATGCAAAACAAAAAGCAGGCACAAATGAAAACATGCCATCTGGATCCATTTATATGAAGTTCAAGAATGGTCAAAACTAATATATGGTGCTAGAAGTCAGAATAGTAGTAACCTATGCGGTTCTGTGGGGTATTGTCTGGGATGGAGCATGTTGGAACTTTTTTAGATGTTGAAAATGTTCAGTGTCTTGTTCCGGGGTGGTGGTTATTTTGATGTGTACGTAGGCAAGGCAGAAAACTTACTGAGTTGTAGCATTTAATATTTGTGTATTTTACTGTACATAAATGATATATCCATTTTCAATAATATCTTAAAGGCCTTGATGTACTGAAATGCAATAGAATGCTATGCGGAAACTGAAAAAGTGACCTTTTTTATTTTTTCTGAGACAGAGTCTCACTGTCTTGCCCACGCTGGAAGGCAGTGGAGCAATATCGGCTCACCGCAACCTCCGCCTCCTGGGTTCAAGTGATTCTTCCACCTCAGCCTCCCGAGTAGCTGGAATTACAGGCATGTGCCACCACATCTGGCTAATTTTTTTGTATTTTTAGTAGACATGGGGTTTCAGCATGTTGGCCAGGCTAATATTGAACTCCTGACCTTAGGTGATCTGCCTTGCAAAGTACTGGGATTACAGATGTGAGCCATCCTGCCCAGCCCAACCTTTATTAATATGGGAAGATGTTACAGCATACTGCAGGTCGTAAAAGAGCATAACTGTGTAAAAGTGTGTGTTTTCGTATGCATAGAAAATTTTTGCAAAGAAGTTCAAATGCACAACATAATGGTTAAATGCCATCTATTTGTTGCCTCTAAGTTCATGTCTAGTATATTGGTGTTGATATCATATAGCATCCAAAGGCTGTTTCCCAAAACTGACAAAGCAATCCTAACTCCAAAAGAGACTTTAATAAGAAAATCAATTGTTCTAGCCAGGCATGGTGGTGCATGTCTGTAATCCCAGCTACTCTCAGGAGGCTGAGGCAGGAGAATCACTTGAACCCAGGAGGCAGAGGTTGTAGTGAGCCGAGATCGCACCATGGCACTCCAGCCTGGGCAACAAGAGTGAAACTCCATCTCAAAAAAAAAAAAGAAAGAAAAGAAAAGAAAGAAAATCAATTGTTCAAAAATTCAAAGGCTTTTAATAGAGTAGCTCATTGTCCTCTAAGAGTGGTGTAATTTGTTAATTAGCCAGATATGTACTTATCCAGTGGGAAATGATTAAAAGTAACTTGGAACAGTTTTTAATTTGCTTGTTTATTGGAGTTGGGGTCATGGTTTTGGTTTTTTTTTACCTGTAATTTTTTTAAAAAATTAAATACCTAGTCAATATATAGACAAATGCTGTTTCTCTGACCTTGTTATTTACGGCAGGGTCTGAGGGAGCTCAGGTTCTAGTGTCCTGGTGTTCCGCATTAGTGTCGCTCTCACTCTTCATAGTAATTACCTCTTTATACCCATCAGCCTTTGGTCTGGGGAACCAGCTTGTCCAATCACCTGTGTCTTTCATGAGGGAATCTCATGTCAAGACTTGACAGATCAGTAGGAACTTCGGGAGCAGATAGGAAGGGAAGGGACAGTCATTTAAGCAAGGTCTGATGTGCTGAGGCTGTACAAATAATTCCAAAATTGTCCCTATATAATTCAGAAATGGAGCTTACAGTAGTCTAGTCATGGGAGAGGGACCTGTAAATGATAAGTTGAATATTTGCTAAAAATCCTGTGATGGAACAACATATGGCTTGTGGTGCAGTCCCCGAAGAGACAGCAGTCTGTTTTAATTAGGAGGGAACACAAGCTGTGTCTTAAAAGATGAGTAAGATTCACTGGGTAGACTGACGGGGAAGGACCTTTCAGGCTGACCCACCTGAGCCAGGCAGGAAAGAGCCTGATCAACCTGCTCAGAAAAGTTTCTGGAGGTATCACATTATGAGGCAAGAACCAGATTCATTTTCTGGAGAAAGGAGTTGGCTTCTTTTCTCTTAGGGAGTGGGACTTAAAGTAGTACAATAGTACTTTAAGTAGCGTACTTAAAGTAGTCAGTAACTTTATTATCAGTTTTGAATGTTAGAAAAGTGATAATGATGGTGAGATGGAGGAAATCAGTTGGGAGATTTGGAATCCTCAAAGTGAAAGATGAAGCCCTGAATTAAGGTGACACCAAAAGGGGATGGAGAGACTCAAGAAATAAAGGTTATGGACTGGTGCAGTGGCACACGCCTGTAATCCCAGCACTTTGGGACGTTAAGGCAGGCGGATCACGAGGTCAGGAGTTCAAAAACAGCCTGGCCAATATGGTGAAGTCCGGTCTCTACTAAAAATACAAAAATTAGGTGGGCATGGTGGCATGTGCCTGTAGTTGCAGCTACTCAAAGGCTGAGGCAGAAGAATCACTTGAACCTGGGAGGCGGAGGTTGCAGTGAACTGCGATTTGTCTCAAAAAAAAAAAAAACAACTGACTTTCTTCACATAATTGGAAGAAAGCCACCTAAAACATCATATGGAACCAAAAAAGAGCCCACATAACCAAGAGAACCAAAAAAAAAAAAAAAGCCAGCATAGCCAAAACAATCCTAAGCAAAAAAAAAAAGCTAGAGGCATCACACTACCTGACTTCAAACTATATTACAAGCTTACAGTAATCAAAATAGCATGGTACTGGTACCAAAACAGAGATACAGACTGAGGTAACAGACCGAGGTAACAGAACAGAGGCCTCAGAAATAATGCCACACATCTACAACCATCTGATCTTTGACAAACCTCACAAAAACAAGCAATGGGGAAAGGATTCCCTATTTAATAAATGATGGGAAAAC